GCGAGGCCGCCCCCGGGGCCGCGGAGGGAAGGTGGGGGCGTGAGGCGCCAGGCGCCTGGGACTGCACCGTGGAGAATGGCGGCTGCGAGCATGCGTGCAATCAGAGCTCGGGAGAGCCGATTTGTCTCTGCCCCCTTGAGGCCGCGCTGCAAGCAGACAGGCGCTCCTGCGCTGCCCTGGAAGGGCCTTCGTGCAATAACAGCCTCTGCCAGCACTTCTGCGTGAGCGACCCTGTCACACCCGGTGCCTACTCCTGCATGTGCGAAGCTGGCTACCAGCTGGCGGCCGACCAGCATGCGTGCGAGGACGTGGATGACTGTGCGCAGGTGCCCAACGTGTGCCAGCAGCTCTGCATCAATACCGATGGTGGCTTCAAGTGCCTCTGCTATGAGGGCTACGAGATGGTGGATAGCGAGTGTGTGGAGCTGCTGGACCCCTGCTTCGGGTCGAACTGTGAGTACCAGTGCCAGCCTGTGGGCACAGACAAGTATGAATGCATCTGCGCCGAAGGCTTCATCCCTAACCCAAAGGAGCCATACCGCTGCCAGATGTTCTGCAACCAGACTGAGTGCCCAGCTGACTGTGACCCCAACAACCTAAACGTCTGCTACTGCCCTGAAGGCTTCATCCTAGATGAGGGTAATGTGTGCGTGGACATCGACGAATGCCATCAAGGCAACTGTGGCCAACATGAGTGCCACAATTTCCCGGGTGCCTACCACTGCATCTGTAGGCCAGGCTCCCCGCTTGAGGGCCAGGTGAGCCTGGACTGTGACTCCATCCCCAACCCCAACCTTAACAAAGGGAGGGAGGAGGAGATCCTGACAGAGGATGGCTCCGGGGAGGACTTCCCCAGCCCGACTCCAGGCCCCACTCTGAGCACCCAACCTGCAGGGCCTGTGCATTCTGTTGTGCTCATAGGCACCTCCATCGCCACCCTGTCCCTTGTGGTGGCACTTCTGGCACTCCTTTGCCACCTGCGCAAGAAGCGGGGCACAGCCCGTGCAGAGCAGGAGTACAAGTGCGGGTCTCCAGCCAAGGCTGTGGCCTTGCAGAAACTCTGAGGTCTTTCAGGGTGCACGAGCCCCTCCTTCCTGTGTGTCCCTCCTCGGTTCCCTGGCTGCTCAGAAGCTCCCTAGCTGGCACCTGGGGAAGACCCTCTCCGTCCTTTGGGAGGGAAGCCCTCAGGCAAGAAGCTGCTATATCTGGGCAGAGAATAAATTTACCATGAAGACAGGCTGCCAAGTTACCCAGGCCCCCACATGGCTGTGGGAAGGGTAAGCATTGTTGCTCTTTAGTTCTGAGGACAGACTCCTACCACATGGCTGGTGATGACCAAGATATTTATTTTTTTAAATATTTAGCTTTTTGCCTCCCCCGCCACCCCATTACTTGTTTGTCTTCAATAATCACTTAACAATGAACCCTCCCTCCTTCTGTTTGTCTGACGTGGTCTCTCTACCTATACTCCACCTACTTCTTAGCTCTTAGCAGTCTATTCAAGCAGAACGCCCAGGTGAGACAGAAACAAAAACACTAAAAACAAAAACAGTTGCACATTTTCTCTTTTGCTAGCTTTGCTACTTTATCTCTAAATTTCAGGCTTTACAGCAAAATAGCTTTAACAGAGTTTAATAGTTCATCATTAAATCGATGTTGCTAGACTGTCATAGACATTAAACCCAAGGAGTTTTCTTATCTTCAGTTTTTAAACAATGAGCCTGGGTTTTATTATTGTTTTGATTTGAATGACAAAGTAGTAATTGTTAAGTGTCTTATGCAGTTTCCTTTATTACAGTTAAATCTTGGTAGTGTTGAAATGTTCTGATACTGTAGACTGAGAGAGAAGCCCCCCCACCCCAAAGATGGGCTAAGAAAGTTTTGAGCTGCCTGCTTCAGGCCAATTTGACTCTCAACCATTCTGTTTACTTGTTCCCCTGTGTCCTACAATACATTCCCCCACTCTGAGTTTCCAGGGGACTTGAAGTGTGGGATTGGGGTGAGCAATGAGGGGCTTCCTTACTGTGGCCTTGAAGAATGTCACCTGCTTCAGAGGGGCCATCTAGCCTTGGCCACTGGCTTGTGGTCACTGGGCAAGATCGGAGCCCTGTGGGAGTCTGAGAGATGGGCAGAGTCCTGGGCCCCACCCTGCCCAGCTCACCAGAAACTGCATTTTAATAAGACCTGCAGGGGCTAGCCTATGCAGCCACTTAAGGACAATTGTTCTAGACTGTTTCCAGCTTACTGGAGAACATTACACATGGGTCAGTAATCAGTAGCGGGCCAAGCCAGGCCCTCAATTCTTAAGAAACTGAGGAATTTTCATTGTACAACTTTGTTCTCTGGTAGAAAAGATTAGGTACACACCACTAAACGTTGCTACACAGGTTCAAGAAGGGTCTTGGTTGGACTAAGCTAGGAATGAATCATTCTCCAGTGAATGGAAAAACTATATCATGTAAGTGTATCTTTGTAAGGCAAAGGTTTTCCTCTACTGTGTTGTAAACTCAGCACATTTGTACATAGTTATTTATTGGAGTTAAACTAGAACACAGGCAAAACCCTTGCTTATGATGTCACTTGTTCAAAATAAACACATTACAGTGTGCTCGAGGTGGTGTGTGTGTTCACCTTCCCTCACTTCCTCATTTTGTGTCATTCAGGGGGCTCACAAGCTGTGCCAATGCTGCCAGGTGCTCAAGGCTGCTGCTCCTGGAGCAGTCTCTGAGTTGCCTATCTTCCCAGAGAAGGAGTTCCGTTACCTCTGTGTGTACAAATATTTTCCTTTCCATAACCATAATAATTTCATTCGTGCTATCTGTGTGTTCTCAAATACATCCCAGGACCATTTGTTGGGATGCCCTAGAGGTTCAGCCCTCCCGGAGCTGCTGGAGTGAGTAGTCCTGAAGGCCTGTGGCTCACAATCAAGCAACAGTTTCCAGACCCCAAGGTCTCCTGCAATATGGAGTCATCCTCCTCCCTGTCTTCAGGTTTCTTGGTCCTTTACCCAGAGTGGAGCTGGCTGACTTTCATGGGCAGGGCTATGAATGTTTCCATAAAGCAGAGAGAGAAACAAAACAAAAACCTTGGTGAAATATTCAAATGCACTGAGGAGGCCAAGTCCTCAGTGTCCACCTGAACAGACATTAGCTTGGAACCTGAGTATCCCAGGCACAAAACTGAGATTGTGTGGGAAGTGGAAAATGCCCTTCTAAGACAAGATAAAGTCCCCAGGATGGGACACTGCCAGCCCTGGGGCACCAGTGACACCAGGATTTGCATAGCTGCAGGCCCAGGAGGGAAGGACTTGTGCAGGAGCGCCCTTTACTAGCAGTAAAATCCAGCCTCGGAGGCACTGGTCCATTTTCAGTGTTTAGTATCTCTCAAATATAAGGGCACAAGACTCCTCTGTTCCCCCAGGAGACTCAGAGAACAACGGTTAATCCCAGAATGCTGTCCTCATGTACCCAGAGCTGGAAGGGGAAGCTGGCTGAGCTCAGGCCTCAGACACCCATCTGGGCTGCAGGAGGCCCTGGGTGTGACAGTGTGGTGTGGACAGGACCTGTACAGATGGTACTCAGCTTCTAGTTTTTGGGGCCTCTCACTCCTGTGTTAAGTGGGGTGCCATGTTATACCATGAAGGATAAACTGAGGTCACAACATAAAAACCACATTTCATCTGGGTTGTGGCTTGGTGGGGGATACCCACAACACACTGCATGACCTTTCCAGGCATTTCTCCATGAAATAACACAGGCAACGCCCGTTCCCCTTTCCCAGACTCCGGCCTCTGCAGGCTGCCTCTGGTGCTTTCCCTCTCTTCCGAGTGGGTCTTTCCTCCTTTGTTTCTGGTCAGTGAGTTCAGATGTAGGCAAACAACTGATTTCCTCTGGCAAGAGTAACTAAATATTGTTTTAACATCAGATTTGAGCAGAATCAGAATCCTTGCAGCCTGTTTTGAAAGAGTGATTGTGAAAGACAGAAAGGCTGGGGGAAGCATTCGCTTGGGGTCAGGCCTGCTGCAAAAGTGGAGGACAGCAGAGGCCGTCGGGATCAGATCAGAAACTCCAGGACTCTGAGCTGGGGTCTGGCACCAGGGCGACCCGGTTGGTGCTGACTGGTCAGGCCTTTCCTCAAACCTTGGCCTAAAAGAAATTGCCCGTTAAAATCAGAAACTTCACAACTGGTGTTATCCTGCCCTGGAAACCTGCTTCCTGTCTGCGTCTTCCACCACGGCCTTTTCTTTCGTGTCTCACTCTCTTCAGAGCCCTGCTGAGGGTGCCTTGTCCACCCACCCACCTTTGTTCAGCCCATGCAGAAGGAGCCGTTTGTTTCCCTCCTCCTGCTACCTCCCACCCTGCTCAGCACAGGTCCCCTGGAGAACGGGGACCCCACCCTTAGTGCACCCTCTGACTACATTCATTTGGAAATGGTGATATAATAAACCTCAAGCACCACTTTTTGTGATTCTTTGCCCAATTTGACGCTTGTCTTCTCCTATCTTCAAAATCCTACACAAATCCCTGGGGCAGAAAAGGCTGGAAGGGCTGGGGGTGAGTCTGCTTCTCTGTTTAGTTTGTCTGTGGAGCTCCAGGGCACTGGGCACAGCCGTATAAACAAGAAATGAAAACAGGGCACCACCAGCCCAGCACCAAGCCGTGTCCAGGCCCGTGTGGTGACTTGGATCTCTGTGGAGTGCGTCTCAAGGAGCACCCCCTGCTCTGCTGGCAGGAAGGAGCAGAGCCCTGGCTTGGAGGGAATGCCGTAGTCTCTCCAGGGCGCAGAGTGACGATCACGAGACCATTACAAAGTCAGCCACTTGCCGGAGACACAGAAACCCCCAGGTGACCAAGCAGGTGGCTTCTGCGGTCCAGGATGCTTCTTTGCAAATCCAGGAGGGCAGGTGGGAACAGCAGATGGAGGCTGGGGGTGGGCAGGAAATGACGTAATGGGGCTCCTGAGTTTAGGGGAGCATTTTCCCAGTTCTGTAACCCTCATGTCCTCCTCACATTCTGTGTGACCACCATGATGGCCATGGAGAGGCAACTTGGCGTGACAGAGCAGTCCCTGTCTTGCCTGAGGTGTCGGAGTTGACAGCACTGTGCACCCACAAATAGTGAGCTTTCCCACAGGTAGTTGCACCCCTGTGGGGATAGATAGCAGGGACCACAGCACTGCAGAGTGGCTGAGGAAAGACTCACTTAAATGACAAACACACAGGTGTCAGGGGCTACCACTGCAGGGGCCCTCACCATAAGATGCTTCGCCTGATGGGGAACCTTGACTTTCAGTCCACACAGAGTGAGTAGAAGAGCAACATGGTCCCACTGGCACCTTCCTGGAAAGGGGAGTTAGGCACCCGACTTCACAAGGACCCAAGAGCTCACAACAGGTCCTCTTGCCAGGTGGACCTGAGCCCCTCAGAGCCTGTCATTGCTGCCTCATGTCTCTTGGGACAAAGTCCTAAATACTTAATGTAATGCTGGACAAAGTCCCCCGCTTTGTGTCCACCAGCACCTCAGGGGAGGGGCATCACCAGCTCCTGTCCAGGCTACTCCAGCCCGTGCTGTCCACCGCAGGCCCTTTGCACACACTGCTCTCTTTGCTTGGAGCCCTTCCTGTCTTCTTGTCTCCCCTAGTGGGTTGCCCTGTGTTCATTGCAGGATGTCATCATCAGCAATCTTCCCTGAGATGCCTGATGTGAGACCAGGGCAAGGTATTGATTACACCATTTCACAAAAGCCAGGTTCCTCTCCTGTGGAGGTCTTGTTCCAGTGTAGGATGGAATTCCACTCTATTTTGAAATTACTGGTTTTGAGATTACTAACTCCAGGCCCCCTGACTGTGCATGTTACCCCAGTTGACCATGTGCCTACCTGCAAGCAGCCCCAAGAAGTCTTCAGGTAGTGGTGACTACAGGGGAGAGTTGCCTCCGCAGGGGCCTCAGGATTGCTGGTGCTGTGATCTACTTAGGATAATATTGAGACAAGGTTTAGGGTCACAACCTGCAGCTGATCTATTTGCTGGGGTCCATGTCTGGTTTCTGAGGGAGCCTGTGGTTTATTTTTTGTGTCATCCTGGAGGCCCTAAGGCTGGCAAGGTGGCTTTGATGGAAGTTAAACCTCCAGATGGATGCTGCCAGAAAGGGCAGGAACCCTGACAATGCCCGCCAGTCATGCCCTTCTGTCCCCATCGTCAGGAAACCTGCTTGCCTTGCTCTTCCCCTGCAGTAAATTGGGGCCATTTAAAGGCCAAAGCAAGACTCACATCAGCGTGTGCCTTGTGACTTCACAGGCCCTACGATGTGTGTGCGGCTCACATGATCCAGCCTGTGTGGGACTTGATGTGAC